TGTAAGAGATCGATGGTTATTTTCAATTGGTCATTGTCAATTTTCGATGACTGGTCATTCAACGTTCTTATCTCCTTTACACATCACTCGGGCTATTATTTTACTGTGCGCTTTTAAGCCAAATATGTTGTTCATATTGTAAATTACCTGCATCGCCACTTTGAATTCAAATTTAAAGAATTGTTTTAATTTGGTTTCGTCCAATACAATGTTTTTAGTCCAATATTAATATGAAATAAGCAACAAATAATAAGTCATAAAATAAAAGCAAAAAATGTTCACTAAAATGATACATAATATAAACATATTTATTTGAGAATATATCCCCGTATATAAAGCAGCGAAGTACAATAATACTAAAACTTCAATTACTTTTGCACTAATTTGATTAATGATGCATCAGTCAGACGACAAATGAAATAGAACAAGTGTGGTTAGATATGCTAAAAAGCTGTTCCGAATCATTTTGTTTTTCCTTCTTGATTGCAAACTAACAAAGTAAATAATGAGGCTGAAAATTTGGAACTCGATTTTCTCAAATGATTGAAACTTTTCTCAACACTCATATTTCGTAATCGTGTTACGGCTGTTTAGCTAACATATCAGCAAAAACTGCTAATTCAAAATCAGTTTTTTTTTCCTTAAGAGAATGAATGAAAGTCAAGGAATTTCAATACATATTAAATGATATGCGTTATTTTGAGTGCTGAAAAGGGAAGGAAACGGCAGCAATAAGTTTTTAATGCATCATTAATCATGAAGGAAGCCTAAAACTGGCTTAAAATGTCAACAGAATAATAACTGAGCTAATATGAACTTCCTTAAACTTACAAATAAATCCACAAGCTAAGTGCATTCAGAAATCATTCAATGTTTTCCTGATGAAGTATTGTGAGCAATAAACAAATTTGTTGGTTATTTATTGAATCCTCAGTGCATTTTTTTTAAAGGAAGTCTTATTGAGTAATTATGCCAATATTGATTGAATATCCTCAACCAGAAGTCTCGCTTAATTCCCTCGTCTAGAACGCATAATAATTCTTTCATTTTCTCCTATACTTCAATTCTATCAAATTATTCCTAAATGTTGGAAATTTTTAGAACGTTTCCTAGATCCAGAAAATCCAATCATTAAGGGTCACTGTATCGGCACGGAAAGTAAGCATGATAACGAAGTGCTTTCAGTAATTCATGTAAATTTATTGAAAATTTTAATTTTAACTTAATGCTAATTTTAGACTTATTTTTGCTCCATTAAATAAAAGTTTTTCAAAACGAAAATTAAATTATTTCATTGTATTCAACCAATCGTCTCATTACTTCGCTACCTTTCTTCCCCCTGAACTATATCTCGTTTTACTTTTATAATGTTTTTACAATCTGTTCAATGTCGATTATTTAATACGACACATAATTCATTTAATATATTGTTCATAGTCGATTGCATCCATAGCAAAAAGTAAATGATGTGATAACACATACACACGCACATCCACTACGGTGTAGTTTGTCTATTTGCAATGATGAAGATTGTTATCCAAAGGATTCGTTGATATTGACGTAGTGTTAGCATATATGTACAACCAGCACTAGCATTAGCATTACTATTAGCATTGATATTAACAATAACATTGATCGCAACTGAAACAAACATTAGTAGCAGTAGCAAGGAAGGAAGTTCCGAAGATCAACAGAAGAATTCGAATTATAGATGTGCATGTTTGTGACATTGATCTTTGTGATTGAAGTGGTGGTTGAATTAATGTGTGAAATGAACGGGAATTAATGCCTATGCAAGAAATGCTTAACGGGAGACGAGGATATGATGTGGATTGGATGGGGTAAGGCAAAGGAAGTACGGAAAGGAGAAGGAGGAGGAAGAGGTGAAATAAGTGAAGGAAAGTGGACAAGAATGTTGGAGAGGAGTGCTGCGTTGCTGTTCACTCATTGTCGCATGCTTCGGATATTTACCGAGCCCAATGAAAGGACCAATTGCATTGTGTAGGACCAACTGCGTTGTGCAGCTCCTCCTGTGGTGTTTAGGCCCGTTTATGTGGCCAGATAAATTGAGCCAAGCCTGATCATCAATGTTCGTCCGGGCGCGAGAAGCGATGGGTGGAGCAAACGGGAAGGGAGAGGGGAAACAGCTTAGAAAGAACTCAACCCTTAATTTGTTTTCATTTTAACTATTATTCGCCGTTTACTCTGTTTTCAACCATCGTTCACTCTCCGCCTCCCTTTGTCCTTATGGATACGAACTTGAAGGAGAACGACACTATTGTTATAGGTTTCTTTTCCATATACTAACAAACATATCATTCACCCTTCCTCCTTGAAGTCGCAACCCTAAGCCAAGTACAGCATCATTATCATTATCATCATCATCATCATTATCATCATCATCATCATCGCCATCATCATCATCATCATCATCATCATCATCATCATCATCATCCACCATAATCATCATCATCTATCATAATCATCATCATCATTA